TCCCCTACTACCACTATATCGGATAAATAAATGATCAAATAACCAAAATAAAAGTTGTAGATCTCGAAAAGTTATAAAACTCTGGAGTTGACAACTTTTTCATTTGAAATTATTTTGTCAAGAAAAACTACATTTGAATTTCTAAAATTTGAAATTCAAATTTTGTAAACGACCTCGGATGGAGAAACTACTAAAATAAAAGTTGTAGATCTCAAAAAGTTATGAAACTTTGTAGTTGACAACTTTTTAATTTGAAATCATCTTATCAAGGAAAACTACGTTTGAATTTTCAAAAATTTGAAATTTGAATTTTTTTTAAACGACCTCGGATGGAGAAACAGCAAAAACGAAAGTTGTAAATCTCAAAAAGTTATGAAACTTGGTAGTTGACAACTTTTGGATTTGAAATCATCTTATTATGTAAAACTACGTTTGAATTTTAAAATTTGAAATTCAAATTTTGTAAACGACCTCGGATGGAGAAACCACCAAAATAAAAGTTGTAGATCTTGAAAAGTTATAAAACTTTATAGTTGACAACTTTTTTATTTAAATTCGTTGAGGGTCCCAAATACTTATTTTAAAATCAAATGAACATAAAATGGTTATGACGAAAATCTCATTTGGACACAAACAGTTTGTAGGTGGAGTGATCAGGGGCCGAAGACGCGAAGCAGGGGTTTGAGTGTCGGTGGCCACGAAGCGCGCGTTTTTCGCGCGAAAAATCGCGTGACTTGGACTTACGAGCGTGTAGCTGTCCAATAGGGCCTCTCCCAGAATTAAAAAAAATTCCTATTTTTTTAGCCTGTTTTTTGGATTTCATAAAAAACACATAATTGTTGGTTCATAAGAACCGGCAGTGAACATCACTGTCGGTATACCACTACCAGTTCAAAATCCGACACTAAAATGGGTTTTTAACCAGCAGTGATGTCAACATCTGGGACAGTGTAAGCATCGTGCAGACATGTTGCATCCTCTTCAGTTTTAGCTTTGTCCTCTATTACTCTTCTGTGTTCGCTTTGTTCTCCATTGCTCTCAACCACATACCCAGGCACGTTGCATCCTCTTCTGTTTTTTGCTTTGTCCTCGATTACTCTTGACCGCATATGCAAACACGAGTCTTTCTTCTATTTTCAAGGAACAAAGCAAATCTTCAGAGACTTCATTTCATGTCACGAATTTGGATGCACTGGACAATACAGGTAGCGTCAGAATGCAAGCATTATACGTTGCTGCTCGCGGGCGACCCACGAGTCCTGCCTGCAAATGGAAATCTGCAGGAGCCCAACTCACTGCCTCACTGCACTGCACATATATAGTCGTGGCCAGTAACGGGAACGCTGCGAAAGCCTCCTCTCGTTGGTGACGCTAGCTCGATGAGTGCACTTGCCCGGCTGCCCAGCACTTGTCCAGCTCCTCCCCGTTTTTTTTTTCTTCATGAGAGCTATGCTACCAACCCTCTTGGAATTTCCATCTCATAAAAAAAAGGATCCCTTAGAGTTCTCAGATAGTACGTATTTTTTATTTGGAAGCTCTCTCTATTTTTTACTCAATTTTTTGCTTTAACTCCAACAACAGCACCCAAATTTAGGTCCCTAAATAAATCTATTTCGGTAGAAAATGATAGACGGGGCCCACTTGTCATTGTCTCTTTCTTCTTCCTTTGGACAGGTACCGCAACTGGAGGACCGAGCCGTCGCCCGTAGAGAACGCTGGATCCATGCCTTCGGGTGCCGCGCCCACGCGAGCCCTGCACCGCCACGGTCATTGCGGGTACTGCCGGAGGAGAGGGGAGGGGAGGGGTGGTGGGATCTATGCAAGCGTGCCGGAGCAGCACACCGGTGGAGCAGGCCCCCGCGCGCGGTGGGAGGGAGGGAGGCGGAGGCTGTGCGCCGTGGAGGAGGTCGCTCCGGTAAAGAGGTCGCGCCGGGAGAGAGGCTGCGCCAGGGAGGGAGGCAGGCGACCGAAAACTGTCGCAACGGCCATGGAGGGCGTCGCCGGGAACTTGGGGACGGCGTGCGTCGCGAGCTTGGGGAGGGTGTCACCATGCTTCCGTGCAAGCGCGCGTGGAGGAAACTGACGCACCGATGGGATGGGGTTCGAGGGGTGAGCCCCCATTCTTCCACAGGAACAGAGTCTGGAGGGTAGATTTGGGTGGCCACCCCAAATTGGGGGCTCTAGTATGGGCCCCGCTAGAGCCATGTTTTTTTGCGTGGACACTAATATTTAGCTATGGGGGCTTAAGTAGGAGCCCTACTGGAGTTGTTCTTATATTTTAGATTATATGTTGTTCTCGTTTCTCTAATACACAATAAAAGTTATAGCATCTAGATATAATGTATGCTTAGATGTATAGCAAAAATTATGTAATTAGAAAAACCAAAACGCCTTATTATTTGGAAGGTAGCACCAGACTTCTTTTTCGTTTCCTGATATTTCCTCAACTCCTTTTCCTTTTGCCACCTGTACCTGTACTCTAAGGCAGCTTCTGCTGTGCCGATGAGTCATGGCGTGGCCCTTGTTCAATTTGTTGATCTCCTCCTCTCCAGACATACACATAACCCCTTTTTTTTCTCTCTCCAACTATAAGCAAACTAGTGACAATGACCCTTCTGTGCATGTGCCCTTGCCGCTGTCCTTCTCTTTATATATTCCATTCTCCTTTTTCTTATATTGTTTTTTACACATTCTGTTTTCGATTTGTCTTCGATTGCTCTCGACCACATACGAGCATCCTCTTCTGTGCAGACATGTTGCATCCTCTTCTGTTTTCGCTTTGTCCTCGATTGCTCTTCTGTTTTCTCTTTGTCCTCGATTATTCTCGACCGCATGCATCCGCAGACATGCTGCATCCTGAACCACTCACCAGGGGCACTCTTTGTAATAAGAATTTGAGCAGAGTGTTTCTTATATTTTTCAAGGAACAAAGCAAATCTTTGGAGACTTCATTTAATTCATGCCATGAATTTGGTTGTACTAGAAAATACAGGTAGTGTGACGATGCAAGCATTATACAGTGATGGAAGATACTCATTTCACTTCTCATTATGTACCCGTATGTGTACTCACTCAGGTACTAGTAGATACAAGTTAAATATGTATGATCCTCCCTAATTTGGCATCAACAACGAGAGGAGATTTTACTTTGGCAACGCCTATCTGAAGACTGCACTTGATACATTATGAATCTGCATCTGGTAGTGGGTTCTACCATACAATATAGAGATCACTCGTGGACATCTATCCAGCTGAATGACACCCAAATTACGCCTTAGAGATAACTGTGCACTCTTTTCCTCCAATTCAGAATGCAATTTTGCTGCATGCGTTCTGGTGCAGCTGATCCACCTTTACAGTCATTATTCACCTCTGCCGATCTTGAGGCTCTCAACAAACCTCTTGTAACCTTTGGTGTTGGACAGCAGGAAGTCTAGGAAGTCCTGGAAGCTGCTTCCCCTGTACATCTCCGGGTGCTGCTCGCTGATCAGCTCCTCGGCGCAGCGCACCTTTTCATCCATGGAGAGGCCATGGATGCTGGCGATAGAAATCCTCGGCTTGTCAGGATCGAGGATGGCCCGATGGACGAGGGACTTGAGCTGACCGTTGCTCAGAACCTCCAGGTTGTCTCCGACGTGGACGTGGAGGGCTCCGGAGATGGCAGGGATAGCCGTCCAGGCGACGTCGTCATGGTGCATCACTTCAAGCCCTGGGGAGCTCTGCAGAAGGATGGTGATGAAGCCATAGTCGGAATGGGAACCCAGTCCGACGTCGTCACCTCGGTGTGTGAATTGTGGATAGTTGTTCAGGGCCAGGAACTGCACTCCGTTCTCCAGTTTCTCTTGCATGTATGATGGTCCTAATCCTAGGCCTTGCAGAATAGCTTCCATGATTTGCATCGACACCCTTTGTATTTCAACGGCATACACCCCCATCTTCTTCCTGGTGGTGATTTTTTTATTATTCAAACGATATAAACAAATTATGATATTTGGTTGTGAACTTAGTTATTTATTGATGGACTAGTGAAAAATGAAGGAATTGTGCAGGTTACCTGTATGCTGGAGGGTCCACCGGCCAGAACTGAACCCAGTCTTCAGGGGATTAGCATAGTGTTTCAGGAATGTCCTGGCCACGCTGATCCCATCCCTTGAGCTCGTGTCGTACCTGATAGGCTGTTGGATGTCGAGTGAAGCAAACTTCTCCTTGTGTTCTTTGGGAAGTGCAAAGAATTCTAACGCAACTTCGAGGGCCTCCTTCATGGCAGACTTGCTGATGCCGTGGTTTACGACCTGTCAGTGTCAGTACAAAGAAAGGTATGAAACCGGGCCTTGTTGGTTGAATGAAATTGGCACTATCCTGCGCCAATTCGTTCCAAAAAACCCTACAAAGTATCAACATTGGCGTTCCAGTATCTGAAAATTATTCGACATGCACTTTGTTCATTTGTTTTGTTCTTTATTTATGTAAATGTTGGTTCATGAAGATTAGGAAGCTAGTTCTCAGATTGGCTAGTTTGAGTTCAGATCAAGTGGAACTTCGGCTAAGAGTGTCTGCAGCAACTTGGAGTAGGACCTAATTACTACTGAAATTAAAAAAAAGATTAGACTGATCAGGACACCATGATCAGTAGTACGTAGTAATTTTACTCCTAGGGCCTCTTTGGCACGGCTTATGCCGGCTTCGGCTTCATCTATTTTGCGCAAATCGAGGCACTGTAGCGTGAAGCCGTTTTGTAAGCCGGGGTTAAAATGAACTAGAAGCCGGGAAAAGCCAGTTTTTCTGGCTTTACCGGCTTTGGCTTCACCGGTGAAGCCGTTTTGGATGAGCCGTGCCAAAGGGGGGCTTTAGTATGATTGGCACTCAAGCCATCGGCCACGTTAGTTCAGCATGACATGCACGTGCATGTGCTTAATTGGAGCGGCCAGCGCAGCTGGAGTTCACTGTCACTGTCACTCTGTCAGTGAACATGGGCAGCGAGCGAGCAAGCAAGCACTGACCTGAAAGCATCCCTGGTCGCGGCACGCCCGCGCAATGTCCTGGACGGCAAGCGCTCTCGTGGCCGGGTCCTTGCCGAGCCGGCCGAAGTTGATCACCGGCGGCGACCCTCGTGGTGGCTGCGGCTGGCTCGCCGCCATTCGTGTCCGTGAGTAGACGTGTGTTCTGATGCTCTTCTCTGGAGCCTCCCCACTGCTGCACAAGTGCACCGCCGAGAGTGGTATTTATAGGCAGCTAGGCACTGCTGATGGCTGAACATTCAGCAAAACAGAGCAGGGGTCAGGGACTCAGGGGTGGCTGGATGGCAGCCACATGGCCGCACCGCCCACTGCCCACAGTGCATTGTTGGAGGCTTGCACTGACGAGTGACGAGGACCGTACGACGTCACCAGATCCGGCCCAGGAACAGGCCACGGACAGTCGGACACGGAGGCCTCAGCTCAGATTGCTGGCTTCGTTCCGGCAGTGCCGCTCATCGGCGGGTGCCACTTCAGCTTGGGGCCGCCTCTGCGTTTCTGGCGCGCTCGTCGCGGCGCGGCGAGGCTCCGCTCGGCTCATGTGCTCTCGCCGTCCTTGGCAAGACGGCAAGTGGGGCTTCGGCTGCTGATGCTGACAAAGGTAAGCCTCCCTTTTTCTCTGGGCGGCTTCAGTCCTTCCTGCCTTTTGGCACCTGAACGACAATGAAAACATTTTGTTCGGTGGTCCTGTGGAAGACAGTGCTTTGCTTGGTGCACCGCACTGGCCGCTTGCGAGCAACACATTACAGATGTTTCCATTCCCACGTGTGCGCATGCTCTTAGGATAGAGCTCAACTAACTTTTAGCTTGAGTGATCTGATGGGGTATAGGGTGGAAGTGATCGTGAAGTGATTTACAGAGATTGAATATTAAGTAGTGACTAGAAAGGAGTGGAGTTTTTTTTAGCTCTCACTCTATATAAATGGAGAACAGTATAAATGGAGAAGTAACTCTTGTCTGATTCCTATCAGAATTTGTGCAACTTTTTATTGTTTGGCCGAGGAAGTGATTCTCAAGGAGGAGCTGCTCCAAAGAATGCTGCCAAACGACCCCTTAGGAAACGACCCCTTAGGCTACGGAAATCTTAATATTGCTTGTTAATCCTCATGAGACACGTTAAGAAAAAATAAATAATAAGAATTCTCACAATACTCTTATAGACTTCAATTTGGTGACTCTAATCATCATCACTAATAACAAAGTTGAATATATTTCCTAAATAATTATCCAGCTTTGCCATTATGTGAATTACATAAACTAGCCTCATAAATTTGCTTCTAAATTACTCACATCTGTCCATATAAAAGATAATTTAAAAACCTCATAAATCTGTATTTAAATTACACACATCTGCCATTGTAAAAGATAATTTGAAATATCCCATGCATTTGCATCTAAATCACCTAATTTTTTATTATGAAAGGATAATCTTAAATCCAAAGTCAAAACAAGCCCTAAATTAGTGACTAAGGAATGTAATCTTGGCGTAAGTTAGTAAAGCTCCCGTTCGGAACCAAACAAGCCAATGCAACGAGTGGAATAACTGAACTAATTACGACCGGAAAAAAGCACAACATACCAAGGTCTTAGGCCTAACTAAACCCAAAAGACTAGCCTAATAGGTGAGGGCTGTCCCCGCCTTATATGTTGTGCTCCTCCACCATCAATTACCGATATGGGACTAAACCTAACAATCTATCCCGTCACACATCGAATCCAACTCTTCACATCACACAACTCTGTGTGACCTCTGAAAGGCGTTATCCAGGCCCCGAGTCCAACGCTCCATATCACCCACAACCTGTGTGACCTTCGGAACGTTAACGGGCTCCCATGTCACCATATGACCCTTGAGATTTTCTAGGTTTTTCCGACTATGGGATCTGATGCCACTTGTTAGAGTGCGCAGCGAAATCTAGCCTAGCTCGCTATACCCACGAGCCAGCGCCCTTCGGGCTCAGGTCCACTGGAGCCCACAACGTACCAAGGTTTTATGCCTAACAAAACCCAAAAGACTAACCTAATAGGTGAGGGTTGTCCCCGCCTTATATCTTGTGCTCCTCCACCATCAATTACCATTGTGGGACTAAACCTAACACTAACGAGGAGGGGCAAAGAAACCTAGCTCCTATCTATCCACGCCCCTTTTCCATCAGCCATGAGCCCATGACAACAGAAAACCTCGTGGTCTTTGATTTCAGGGTTTCCATCACAGATAATGTAATTTATATCCAAGTGTCTCGGACAGTTGCAGTGGTCTTTGATTTCAGGGTTTTCATCACAGATAATGTAATTTATAACCAAGTGTCTCGGGCAGTCGCAGGCATGAATCTGCCGCGGAGATGAATGGAGGCAGGAGGGGCTCACCGGCTTGGTCCACGGCGCCTGTCGCCGGTAGCCTCCAAAATAGCCCTTTTCTGAGAGTAACCCACCTCGGCGACGACACGCTGGTGAACTACCAGAGCATGGGACGCTACTTGTGTTTGTTTTTCTCATGATAACTTCAAGTGGGAGTTGTTTTATATATCTGCTATAAACAGCGTGGCGAACCAGAAACTATACTGTATGGAGGATGAGAACAAAGCCATTGGCTAAAAGAAACAAGAAATAAGAAAAAAGTTGGTGTACAGAGCATTTCGCTGTACTATTGGATAGCAGATTACTAGCTGTTTCTATTACTAAAAAACAGTGAGTATAGAAGTCCAGTGGCACCTTGGTACATTTAAAAGGTCGGAATAGCTGTTTTGCTCCCTAAATTATTGCTCAAGGCTCAGTTTCATCTCGACCTTTCAAAACGGCCATTTTAATCCTCAAAGTATATTTTTAGGCTGAATTTCATCCTAAAACTGTAAAGATGATCGTTTCAGTCCTCAAACTTTGCATATTATTGGGCTCAATTTCGTCCCAGTAGAACTATAAAGATGGCCGTTTCAGTCCTCAACTTTGCATATTGGGCTCAATTTAATCCATAAACTATCAAAAGTATATATATATATATATATATATATATATATATATATATATATATCCTACTAACTCATTTTTGTGAGAGCAATTATAGTTACTTCGAACGCTATTTATTCCTTAAGAAACATGGACATATTGAAACAATAATAGATCTATTTTTTATTAGCTACTTCTAGAGTTAGGCTCAACTAATAACCATTTGTGTATAAAATAATATATTTTTCCATAGGCTAAAAATAAGTCATATTTAAGAATATTTAGATCTATATTTATATTCATCTTAGAATATGAATATAAATGTTAAAAGTGTGCTATCTGAATCGGTAGTTAGGGCGACGCTAGGGACAATAGTACCTAACGATGACTATCCATCTCAAATCGCACGTGGTGCTGAACAAAGGATGAAGTTGAGCCAAAATGCATTTTGATAATTCATGGATGAAATTGTGCCTAAAATATAATGTTTTCTTTTTGGATAAACAAAATTGGATTGAAAATAAAAGTTTAAAGACCGAAATACACTTTTGATACTTTATGGATGAAATTGAACCGAAAATGCAAGTTTTTGGACTAAAACGATCATCTTAATAGTTTTGGGATGAAATTGAGCCTAAAAGTAGAGTTTGAGGACTAAAACGGCCGTTTTGAAAGTTAAGGGATGAAACTGAGTCTCAAGAAATAGTACAGGGACCAAATGGCTATTCTGCCTTTTAAAAGTTGCAACTGTTTTTTAGATAAAGGAATTTTTATTCTGGCCTGTTCCATGTACTCATCAACCATTAAAACTGTAGCTGTATGACTGTAATATCAGTAGTACTATGTATCTTACGCCAAGAGAGTCCTTCAAATAAGATATTTGTGCCATCTAGCTCATGCATGTGAATCAAATTTGGATGTATTTACCATTACGCCTCAGAATCGAACTGATCTCTTTTAAGTGTCAATGAATGTGGTTACTTCCAGTATTCTCCGGCAAACCAACATATTTGATTGACACTAGTCGAGATCAGTTTGGGCTGTTATTTGCCAAAAGACTACATTAAGGAATAAGCTCCTCACTAAAAGGAATTATGAAGGCATGCAAACCACAATTCCAAGCTGATATGGCCAAATCTATTGTCCAAGAGCTAAAACATCAAAAGCTTTTTGGGACATTTTTGAATCCTAGAACATCAGGACGGAGGGAGTTTTAGTTAGGTAACAAGCATGCACGTAAGGAGGACGTTGCATTGGCTCCCACTAAAAGAAATGAGAACTACTGGAGGCTGAGGCGTCAGCTGTGTCTGAACTTGTACCTGTAGGGCAGAACCAGAGTAAGGATGGGCGTTGGTCAGGCTTGATAAGCAAATCTGAGACAAGTTTTCAGATGCTTTGCGAAGACTAAAAATGAATGTAGTCAAGTACTCAACTAGATCTAATAGCTACACATCAGGAAAAAATAATTAAACGAACAGATAATTGAAAACAGTTTGCATTCACTTAACTTATGATTAGACTGAATGTTGCTGCTAACAAGGAAAAATGGTTGGGTGTCATTTGAAATTGTACCTTTAAGAGGGTATAAAACAGTATCGCAGCTACAGTCCAAACATGCATGCATCCGTTTAAACCCCTTCCCTTGAACCCTTGCTTTTTGCATTCCATCGCTTACCGGCTTAAGGAATAGCAGCAGCATTATTTTTCTTTCCTTGACAGCACCATAAGATTGAAGTTGATTGAGTTGGGGATATTGCACATGATGGCCTTAATGATAGGAACAACATCCTGGTGCAATAAAATGGTCATTGTAGGCTATATTATAACGGAAAATTCTAATAAGCATCAGCCATTTCCTTTGAGCTTTACTGTCAGCAGTTTCAGCAACCAGTTTAAGGAAATGGAAAAGGATGTGGAAAACAAGAAGAAAAAAAGGAACCACTTCATAACCTTGCAGTACCTGCAGCAAACTTATAGAAGAACAGGATCTGTGCTTTATAGGTCCATCCTTCATCCCATCAAGCTCATAAAGTGTTCCTACAACCCGACTTAGCTCCTTATTGATGTGTAAATACATGAAAAACATATAACGAGCCGTTTTTGGCTATATAATATATATTCAGGTGGGGATTAATCCCCCCTGGTGACATTCAAAAAAAAGATGAAAAACAGAGAAACGGATGGTGAAAAGCCGCTGTCAAAGACTTCGCCTTACCATTGACAGACACAAAACAAATATAGTGCTCTTCTACAAGATCACTGAGCTGCCAAACAAAGGCAAGTCTTGTGGTTAGATATAATTGACAAAATGATGAGAAAATAAATCACAGAAAATTTTTTGGCTATTATTTTTTTTCCTTATTTTCAGTTTGGGACAGCTCAGGTTGAAACACACTGATGAATTTCATGTGTATGACCTGTAACAAAATTATTTATCTATTTTCAGCTGAAGAAAACAATAACCATAACAATGCTTCATCTATCTATATAAAGTAGAATCACAAGTTTAAGCTTCACGATTATTTTTCTGTCAATGCACACAGCCAGTTCAGCTCAGAACTTGAAACTATGCTAACTAGAGTAAAAATAAGTATAGTGGAACATCATTAACTGTATTTAGTGCATAGCCCTACATTCGACAGTTCTTATTCTTTGATGTTTTCCGGATTGAATTCCGGTTCACATATGCAAAGAAACCAGTACCTCTGTGACACCAGCATTGGCAGCCAGTGAGTGAGCCCTTGCCATGGCATCATCCTTCTCTAGACACACAGCACGCTGGAAAACATGGCATGAGGCATAACCATATAAGGGAAAAAACTGCAAGACTGATCAAGGTATCCTGGTAATGAGCATGCATTTTGAGAAAACAAACAAGAACCTCATATGGGTCCATGCCAGAAGTTGATTTGAAGAACAAGTCCAAGCATGAATTCTCAACTACAAAAGACCAGATAGGTTAATTCAATTCAGGAGCAAGGAGAGAGTAAGAAATATTACAATCATCTTACAGAATTCTGTGTGCTGCATATAATTGTTTCAGGTTACCTAAATTGACTTCTGAAGATACATTTCCAGCAGCATGGAGTAGAGCAACAGTTCCACAAGCATTTCCCAATGATTCAATCTGTTTTATAAAGTAAACCTGGTCCTGTGTTTCCTGTGTTACACAAGGCAGCATGAAACACCATGCACAATAAAGGGATATGAACAACTCGATATAAAACTATCAGGGATTTTTATGATGGAGAAATCAACTGTAAACCATAGGTGAGGAATGAAAAAAATGGCATCTACAAGGAACACAATTGTTCACCTTTTCTCCAGAAAATAAGAGTTGTTCTGAAGGGTAACTTGCATCCTGCAGTGGAACAAGAGCGCACCTCAGTAAAAAACTGAAACTCCCTTACTAAGCTCATAAATATGAAAACAACTTTTATTTGTGCATTCCACATTAAAAGAGACACACTCGTATATTTGGATGAGTTGGGTTACATATGCAGCATATTTTTTTAAAGACATGCAACATAATAAAAATTGTTTAGGCACTCATTGTTCATTACTCAACACTACCAGCAGTCACTACTGTCACCTCGTCTGGGGGTTACACTCTTATACAGAAATGCTATACAACACATGTGTGTTTTAACACAAAAAAACACATGGATTTTTTTTTATCTCTCTCCCTCTCTTTGTCACCGGCGCGCACACGGCCTGGGCGTATGGTACAGATCTTGACGATACGTAAACGATACGGCCGGGTTCGACGTGACGGTGATGGCGGCGAACCCGAACTCGCGCATCGGCATCCAGTACAAGCCCGGGTCCAGCCTGGGCGTGTGGTACAGCTCGTACCGCCGGGCGCGGGGCACGCTGCCGGCCTTCTACCAGGGCCACTGCAACACCACGGTGACGACGGCGGATCTGTGATTTGTCCTTCCATGAAAAAAAAATTGTTTCATGTGATCTGTGATCTGTGGATTTATGATCTTGTGATTGTCTGAAGGTAGAATAAGGCTGGAGGTAGAAGAAGGGTGGAGACAGTTGGATCTTAATCTTATGGTGCAAAAAAAATTCATGTGTTAGAATTGTATAAAACACATGGTTGTGTAGTAGACGGACTCCACTTATACAGCACAATCAAATGTGAGGCTCGGTGAAACTGCACTCCAACAGGTGTAGCCTCACCTTTGCTTGTCCTGCAATTATAGTTTCCTCTAAGCAATTATTTATACTCGTGAATGGCTACAGGATTGGGGGACTAATCTCCTCCAAAATCGAGTTACTGGAGCTTGTTCAATTTGGCAATGTACTTGCTCCCCTGATTCGGGAAAACAGAAAGGGCAAACGCACCTGTGGTGGATCGGGGAAACAGAGAACAACGGCGAGAACAGGCTGCGGAACCATATCCAACGCGTCGGCGTCCAGTCCGTACACATCATGGAACTCCACGTCGTCGTCCGGGACGCCTAGCGACCACATGAACTGCGCCCGCGCGCCGACGCCGCGGAGAGGTCAGAGAGGAACGAGCATACCATGGAATTGATGGCCATAGGAAGGAGAGTGAGGGATACCTGATTGAAAACTTCGGGGGTAGACTCCAGCGGCGGCCACCGCTCGCCGGCGGAGGCCGGAGCTGACGCGGAGGGGGGCGACGGCAGCGCCATGGAAGTTGGGCGTGGTGGAGTACGTCACGGATCTGGAATGGGCCGAGTGCGTACTGCCATTGTGATCTGGGCTATTTTGGCCCATTTCCACGGGCTTACTTTGTGTTTCCTTTGTGGATCAATTTAACAACTGATCGTTCCCCTTTTAAGTTTTTTTTTAAAAAAAAACTCAGCTATCTCCCAAAAAAATAAAAAAATCAGTGTTTCCAATTCGCTCGACGTCAAGTTCCTTCATGCGACCCTGCTACTTCATCCGAGAAGAGTCTTCTACCAGTCGTAGCATTGGTCGCCTCTCGACGTTAAGTTCCTTCGTACAGGGAAAAGTATTTGCTTCGGTCTAGTACGATCATTCAGATGATGACATGTCATATAATTTGCTTATATATGTGAAGCCCAATTTTAATAATAAGAATAAACCTCTCACTAAGAATGGTCTTATTCGTCATCTTGTCATCGTCAGTCAGTGTCTGAACGCGCCGGATTAAGACCTAACCCATTGTTATTATTGTTAATAATGGCAGGCCACGATCCATCGACTTTAACTAACTGCTTAGTTATTACAGCCAGCAGGCACGCACGGATCGGAGTTGAGCTTTGTTTCAGCTTTTACTAGTAGTTTTTTTTAGCTCTACCGACGGCTGAGAATCCACGGCACGACTGTTGCCTGTATGTAAATAAATAAGTAAACATATTGGCCTGTTCGTTTCTCTTATAATCTGTACTTTTCAGCTTTTTCAGCTAGAATAGTATTTTTCTCTCACAACAGCGGCCTGTTCGGTTGGCTGGTTCGTTTCGTTGCTGGTTTGTGAAAAAGTACTGCTGGCTGGTTTGTGTGAGAGAAAGATACTGTTCTGGCTGAAAATTTACGATCGTTTACGACAAGCCACAGCCAAACGAATATGCTACAAATCAGTTGGAACAGTGTTTTTGTTTGTTTTCCTAGTGGAGCGAACGGGCCCATTAGTAGTATACTACTATACGCACCCTAGATAGCTAGCTAGGACCGGAAGATTGTCACTGCAGACGCAATCCAGTGGATTAATAATTAGAGTAACATAATACATCATGCACTAGCTTACCCTGAGCTTTACTGCTCGGTCTGGTAGAATAAAGAGCGTGCCGATCGATTAGAGCTGGTCAGTTGACTAGTCAGCGCGAGATCATGTGTTTAATTAATATAATAGGAGTATTTCCTCAAAAAGAAATATAATAGGAGTATATGGTTCATCAGTGGACATATAATGGACTCCATTACTATTTGGTAAAAGGTTAAGAGTGAGGGCTAAACTTTAACTTATTCTTTTTCCATTAGCCCCTCTAAGGTACGCTGAAAAGGGCTAAAAGTGGTTTCATGGAGGCAAAAGACGCGTATTACTCTCAACTATCCCCTTTGAATCATGTGCATGAGTATTAATTAGAGGTAAATAAGTCATGATAGGATACATAGATAATCTTTAGCCCCTGGATCCAAACAGCACATGAGCTAAACTTTAGCCTGGACTAATTTTTAGCCTTATGATCCAAACGCCGTACGGATATTGCGCCACCGTTTCATTAGTGTGCACTCTTACGAACCGTTCATTCTAGTAGCCGAGTCCAATTTGGCCGTGGAACTAGAGTAATTAAAGTGACAGAGCTATCTAGCTAGAATGTGTTTTTTAAACAGTCCACTGCTATTAGCTAAGGTTAGCTAGGGCCTTGTTTAGATTGCCTTAAAATTCCAAGTTTTTTTACTCTCTCTATCACATTAATTTTTGGACGTATGCATGGAGCATTAAATGTAGGTAAAAAAAATAACTAATTACACAGTTTTGTTGTAAATCACGAGACGAATCTTTTGAGCCTAGTTAGTCTATGATCAGACAAAGTTTGTCAAATATAAACGAAACGTGCTACAATGTCTAGATTACAAAAATTTACAATCTAAACCAGGCCTGGTCGGTCACATCGTTGCTACTCCACGTGCTGCTGCAGGTGCCGTGCACATCGCGGTGCTTCTGCTGCGAATTCGCGTGCAAACACCTGATCCTGGCAAAGACCGGCCTGCTGATCGGAGAGACCAGGTCAGAAAGTTTGTTGTGACGAACGAACGCACTACCAGGCCAGGATGAAATCTCCTCTCAGCCGTTGTTGCCCATGATTAAACGGACGGACACGGATGCAAGATCGGAGACCCAAGTCAACTCGGCAACGTGCATCCAGTTTTGTTAGTTATTAATAGATGGAGACAGGACACTTTGTGTCCAAGGCATCCAGGCTTAGTAGCGACTCAGGTACGTGGCTAAGGGCACATCCACACCCACCCTATGCTTTTCTTTCTCGTCTTATTTCTCTCCTCAGGCCCCGTTTAGTTCCAAGCCAAAAATCAAAAATTTTCAAGATTTCCCGTCACATTAAATCTTGCGGCACATGCATGGAGTACTAAATTTAGACGAAAAAAAACTAATTACACAGTTAGCCGAGAAATTGTGAGACGAATCTTTTAAACCTAAATAGTCCATAATTGGACAATTTTTGCCAAATAAAAACGAAAGTGCTACAGTACCCAAAAGCTAAAAATTTTCGGAACTAAACGGGACCTCATTTAGGGCAGTCACAGCATATACTCAAATCGTAAGCCACAGACTAATAGTTACATGTCAGTATGTCACGTGCTCCATGCAGATATGGAGCTATAATCTCACAACACCGTCATCTCTATCCGTTGCGAACAACGTTTTCACCTCTATGTTTACCTCTGACACTGTGTAGCGTTGGGAACGCCCTTAGAGGTTGGACGTGGACGGTGCCATTTTTTCTTGGCAAGGACTTCTAGGTACGCTGAACAAGCCGTTCCTGAACTCCACGCGGCGAGAATCGTCACGGAATCTGATGCTGCACGGTCGTGGGTTTTGATTGGACTTTCCGCTGTTGGTGCAGTTTTTTTTAATTCTTTTCCTGAAAATGCGTGCCGGCTTTTCAAAAGCCAAAAAAATCGTCTGGAGACCTGTGCAGCATTTTTGGAATATACGAACTCGCTTCTTCTGTTGTGCCGCGAATCTCCAAACACGGTAATGAGAAGATGATCGTTGATCGATCCGGGCATGGAAGACGTCAGAAAGTTCGTTCTGACCAATGGACGCGGCAGGGAGAGGAAGTTTTGGGCCACGTGGCGATTCAGGGAATGAAATTTCTGCAACGTTCCCCCTCGCCATGGCCCATGCCCCCCATGGCTAAACGGACGGACGGACGGATGCACGAGACTGGAAGACCCGACCCGAGACCTGCTTCAAGTCAACTCGGCGACGCGTGCATTCAGTCCTGTCGGTGTCAATCCAAACTACGTATGGCAGCGACAGTGCAATCAATGCACTGGCAAGTTCGAGCTTCCCGGAAGCTTAGGGTTTGTTTAGATCACCTTCAAATTTTAAATTTTTTCACTCTCTTCATCACCTCAATTTTTGGACGCATATATGGAGCATTAAATATAGGTAAAAAAAATAACTAATTACATAGTTTGGTTGTAAATCACGAGACGGATCTTTTGAGTCTAGTTAGTCCATGATCGGACAAAGTCAGCCTGGGCGTTCGGTTTTAACCGACCGTTCGGTTCGGTTTTTTCGGTTTTTCAAAATTTCGGTTTCCAGAAAATGACTCCCGATCGGTTTGCTAAAATTTTAAAAACCGACCAATTTCGGTTCGGTTTTCTAATTCGGTTTTTCGGTTAAAACCGAATATCAGACAGGATTTAGAACTGACAGCACAACACAGTACAAACTTGCACAGCACAGTATATTATTTGAAGACTCAAGACTGTTACAAACTTAACAATTCAATGCTCAAATCAAATATTACAAATTTACAGTTTATTCTTGATAATAAACCACAGTACTCCATCAGTTTTGATAAACAATAGGAAAAAAACAGGTTTCTTGGTATTTCGGTTTTTCGGTTCGGTATGGCATAGAAACCGAAACCGAACCGAACTACCGAACTTCACAGAACTGGAAACCGAAACCGAACCGAAAAACCGAACTACCGACTATTCGGTTCGGTTTCGGTTCGGTTTGGTTCGGTGTTCGGTTTTCGGTGAAAAACTGCCCAGGCTGAGGACAAAGTTTGTCAAATACAAACGAAACGTGCTACAGTATCCAGGTTACAAAAATTTACAATCTAAACAAGGCCTTAGCTGAGTACGATACAATCTCTCTCACACACATTAGTGACAGTACGGCCTTGTTTAGATACCCTCAAAATTCCAAGTTTTTTCACTCTCTCTCCATCACATCAATTTTTAGCTATTTGTATGGAGCATTAAATGTAGGTAAAAAAATAACTAATTACACAATTTAGTTTGAAATCACGAGATGAATCTTTTAAGCTTAGTTGGTCCACGATTAGACAATATTTACCAAATAAGACGAAAGTGCTACTATTCATCGGTTTGAAATTTTTTTCAATCTAAACGAGGCCTACGATCACTTTCGAGCTTGGAGTAACCAAACCAAGCACCACCACTGCTGGCGGTAACGATCAGGCCGGTATCACTTTTCTCGATCGTTTCAACTGGCAACAGTGCCGCCACGGCGTCACCGCCCGCTAGTCGCAAGTCAGTCAAGACGCCACAGCCATGCACGCGGCCGAACGGATCGGACGACGACCGGCCCAGGGCGTCCAGCCCACCCGGAAGCGGACGAAGACCCGGCAAATTCGAAAAGTCGTCGCGGCCACTGGTGGGCGCGGGACCCCGTCAAGCGGGCTGGCTGGCTGGGGCGCGGCGCGATCTCCTTTGGCGGCTGCGTTTCCACTTCCACGCGGCAGGGCAACGCCGCAACGGCCTCCCTGAGACCCAGACTCCCCCTGGCCACCCACCCACCACGCCCACGCGCGGCGCGGAGGAGTCCAAGCAGGAGCAAGCACCGGGAGCGGAACGACGACTCGAGGGAGCGAACAGAGAAAAATAGATAATTCCTCGCGACGTCATCACCGGCTTTCTTAACGGCTTTTAGCCCACTGATCCGGCCAGAGCGTCCGTCGTCACGCGATCGCGCTCGATCCGATCGCCCGCCCGCCAAGGCCAGCCACCTTGCCTTCGTCGCGGCTTCCTTGGCCTGGCCCGGCGCCCTTTGTTGCCCACGGCCCCACGCGCGACGCCGCTCCCGTCCGGCTCGGCACGGAGCAAACGAAATCATCGGTCCGCGACCGGGGCTGTCGATGCGCCCGCCAGGCGCCAGTGGGCCAGACCACAGTGTGCCCGGGGCCCTGCCGTGCCGAGTGCCGCCCGCAAGCACGCGCCGGCCTATAAATCCGGGTCGCCTTCGGGCTTCTTTGCCGCCCCCATCCAATCCAAGCAGGCAGGCAGAGGAGAACACACCCACGGCCATTTCCGCCCCCGCAGCTCGGACATAGCCAAGGCCCAAGGCACAGCCGGCTGCTCTCGGTCTCGCTTCCGCGCGCTAGCTAGGAGCCTAGGAGGAGGACTCGAGGAGGATCGGTTTCGCCATGGCCGACAAGGTAAACCAATCGCCTCAGAATTCTCGCTCGATTCGCACCGATTTTGGTGTTTGTTTCCATGTCCGTGTGTATGGCCCGGGGGTTTTAACGGGGTTCATCGCCGCTCGTCGTGGCGCAGAAGGTGGTGTTGAAGCTGGACCTGCACGACAACAAGGACAAGCAGAAGGTGCTCAAGGCGGTCTCCACTCTCCACGGTACATCACTCCTCCCCTCTCCTCTGCTTCCCTTCTCCGTCATCGAGGCCAGCAAAGCATCCGTGTCCTGCAGAGCTGCGACCTGGAGCGGGGCAGGCTTTCAAATTCGTAACGAGTGAGTCCATGTCCGAATTCTGATCTCTGATGACGACGGCAACCACACACGCGCAGGTATCGGCTCCATCTCCGTGGACATGAAGGATTCCAAGCTGACGGTGATCGGGCTGGTCGACCCCGTCGACGTCGTGGGCAAGCTGCGCAAGGTCGGCTCCGCCGCCATCGTCTCCGTCGGGCCAGCCAAGGAGGAGAAGAAGGACGACAAGAAGGGCGACAAGAAGGAGGACGACAAGAAGCAGGAGCAGGTCGTGTGGTACGGCCCGCCGCACCCGTGGTACGCCGCCGCGCAGCAGTCCCACTACCCCCACCCGTACCCGCCCCAGTACGTCGTCCACAGCGCCGAGGAGGACCCCAACTCCTGCGTCATCTGCTGATGCCGCTCGGCGGCAAGGCGCAGCCGCGTATAAGCTCCGTCTTCTTTTGTAAAATCTCTGTGTAGTTGGCCTACCTCAGGCACGATCGACCGCCACTTCGTCGGTGATCGCCGGGACCGGGACAGGTTGTGGTGGTTGGCTGCTCTGCTCATCTCTATCCTGGGCCTGGCGTAGGGTTGATCGTTGGCCCGTCCGCAGGTCGTTATACGATGGCTAGGGCAATTATTATACAGGCGATCCCAAGTCTCCAAGACTAGTTATTGGGGGGTTTCAGCAGGCTGCTGATCTGATCAGCGTGATTGCGTACTGTGCATAGAATATATGTGAGTTTTGTCCTTGCTATTTGGGTGTTTGAGGCATGAAAAAACTACTTAGTATATACATAGAGATATCTATAAAGATTAACCTTGTAATGTAAACTATAACTTCCAGATGTCCGATGTATCGTGACGAGTTTATTAAAGGGGCGCAAATGTCCTGACGATGATGCCGATTGTCTCGAACGATCTGGAAGTAGGATCGATGAACTGACGGGGGGCATATGATGATATATATTGTAATCATAAAATGGTTGGCATCTGAACCATATAAATAAATGTGGAATTTGACGGTAAAGATCAAGTTTTTTTTTCTAAATGTAAAGAGCCAAGTTACCATCGATGGCTGTTGGACTACTTAAAGAGCCAACTGGTGTGCAACTTAGGTCGTTCTGAGGGGAGACTTTTTGTATTGTTTATAATATTGCCCCGACATGTAAAATGAAATTGAAACATGAATGAAACTCTTAATGCCGGGTTCATAAACCCGGGGTCCCTCATGGACCTGCTTCCCAGCAAAAGTTCGGCTCAGCAGACGATGTTGCGAAACGACGCGCAACTCCTGGGCCGGCCCAAAAAACCTAACGACAGGCCAGAAGGGCGATCCTGGCTCGCTTCCGACTCCGGCCCGCCTCTCCGACCGGAAGGCCTGGCCAAGGAGGAACGACGCTCGCTTCCGACTCCGGCCCGCCTCTCTGACCGGAAGGCCTGGCCAAAGGAGAAACGACGCTCGCTTCCAACTCCAGCCCACCTCTCCGACCGGAAGGCCTGGCCAAAGCGGAACGGCGCTCGCTCCCGTCGCCTCCGACTCCGGCCCGCCTCTCCGACCGGAAGGCTTAGCCGAGAAGGGACGACGCTCGCTTCCGACTCCGGCCCGCCTCTCCGACCGGAAGGTCTGGCCAGAGAGGAACGACGCTTGCTCCCGACTCCGACCCGGCTCTCCGACCGGGAATACACCGAACCTCTGCTTACAGCTCTTCTCCGACCAGGAGGCCGGAGCCGACTGGGAACGATCAAACGGGGACGCTCGCTCGGTGAAAACCCAGGAAACGGACAGAGCAAGTAAGGCAGGACGCTCCAGTCAACCGCAATATCAAGGACTGTACCCTGCGTACCTGCAGGACAGTACTATCAGGCCGTGTCAGGAGGATGCACCGCAACCTTCCAGACATGTCAGAACACCAACAATATTGTGGGCGCTGACATTTATCCTACAGTATGGTAGGCGCCGACATTGGCCATACCGAAAAGACCACGATGGAACCTACCACATGCTTCTGAACATCAACAGTGTTATGGGCGCCGACATACCACCTTGTACCCGACGGCGTGGGCAACAAGACTAGAAAACACACACACTCTCTTTCTCTCTCACACACACTCTCTCTCTCTCTTGTAAAGGCATCCCTTCATCTATAAAGGGGGACACGCTCTCTCTCCAAAAAGGACACATACGATTCGACCATCGGACAATCGATTCATGAACGATTCGAACAACCTACGATTCGAACGATTCCAACAAAGCACACGCTCTAATACTTAGCGCACATAGGAGCTCCCGTCTCTCTTGGCCCTTCGGTCCAGAGTTCGACCGGACCTCTTGCACCCCCATTTTACTCCCTTTCGTTTGTAACCCCACAGCAAACTTCGAGCACCTAGGCTCAGGAATAAAGTCACCAACCGACTCAAACTGGACGTAGGACACGTTGCCTGAACCAGTATAAACCCTGTGTCATTGAGTGCTAGGCCACCTCCGATCATAACGTACAGCAAAACTACAAATATTTACATGTTGGTCACTTTCTGCACCGACAGTTGACGCCGTCCGTGGGGAAGACGTCGTACGTTCACGCTTTTGGTCATCGGATGGCCCATCTTTCCCCCACCTTCGCCATGGCGGGCTCAAGCGATATGATTCACTTTGGCTCGCTGGAGTTTTCCGCGCTCCCACCTATTGGGATGTGGGTTCCTCCCATCTTCGAGCCATCCAAGGCCTTCCTCTTCGAAAGCCTGGACTTCGTCGTCGACCGGCTCGGCATGCTTCACCTCCGTGAGGAGGCACTTGTCCTAGCGCCCTCCGACGGCTCTGGACCACCCGCCGACCTCAACGACGAGGCGCCTGTGCATCGCTCCGAGCCTACGCTAGGCTCAAACCCCACTGTGAGTAATGTACATACTGTTATTTACTCGCTATTTACTATTTTCCGGCGATTCTCCGGAGGGACCTCGTTGTCCCTGCCGCGACCGTCGTGCGACCGGTTCCCCTATGGCCTCGCGTCCCCCGCGGACGCGTACGCACGGGGGCTCCGAAAGATGCTGGCGCCATCCCCTCTCACATCTGAATTTGTGGGGATGGCGGACTACGCTCCCGCCTCTTTTCACGACTTCATGGATGATGATGTTGAGAGCGACGGCTCCAGCATCGGCGACGTTGTGGCACCCAGCCACCCTCTATCCCGTGAGTGCGCTATGGCGGACGCTCCGGGATAGCCGCCGGTGGTGGCGGAGTCTCTTCAAACCCACACCCCTCCAGACCCTCGCGCGGATACCCTTGCGTGTGCCCAGGAGCACAGCGAGGAGCTATGACAAAGGCGACAGAACCAGCCGCCACCTGCGCCGGCACGCTCGGCACACCACGATGCGCCCCGTGCGCGTAACCCGATGAGCGAAGCCTGGGGTTGTGCCCGCCAAGTTCAGCGCAACATTATCGACGGGGGGAACGATCCCCCATAGTTCGCTTGGGCTGGTCAGAACATCGCCGCGGCGGCAATGCTTTTGCATGGCCTTCCCGAGCCTATCAACCCACAGGAGCAGGCGGTCCGGTCCACCGAAACCTCCAGGCGCTGGTGGAGACCGCCGCCGTTCAACAGGCGGAGAGATCCGCATCGCACCAGACGCATCGCTCCATCCGCTCGCCGCTACAGCCACTAGGCGCGGAACAGGAGGCCGCAGCTGCGCCACGACCTGACCCGGTGCCTGCTCCACATCGGCCGCCTGTGCGTAAACGCCTCGGGCCAAATCGAGACGCTCGTAGCGTCATCAACAACCGGCGTCAGGCCTAGTATGATGATGACGTCCATCGGGCGGCGGTGAGAGCAGGCAGCACGGGCTCCGGCCAGACCATCGAGGGGACCGGTGAGACGCACCCCAAGCGTGGTCGCCGACCCGACGACCGGAGTCCTAGCTCGGATGGCCTAGGACCATGGGCCTTTGGCCGACGCATCCAGAGAGCGCCGTTCCCACAGCGCTTCCGGCCGCCTACCAACATCGCCAAGTATATCGGGGCGACGAACCCCGGTATATGGCTCGAAGACTTCTGGCTCGCCTGCCGAGCCGGAGGAGTGGATGATGACCACTTCATCATTCAGTACCTCCCCATCTGCGTGGGGGAATATGTTCGAGCATGGCTCGAATTCCTCCCGCATGACAGCATCCACGACTGGGCGAACCTCAAGAGGATATTCGTCGGGAATTTCCAGGGGACGTATGTCCGCCTTGGTAACTCCTGGGACCTCAAGAGCTGCCAGCAGAAGCCCAATGAGTCCCTACGGGACTACATCCGTAGGTTCTCGAAGCGGTGCAACTCCCTTCTTAATGTCGTCGACGCGGACGTCGTCAGCGCATTCCTCTCCAGAACAACCTGTGAGTCTTTGATTCGCAAGCTTGGCTATTTGAAGCCCCGGACCACCCGCGACCTGCTCGACGTCGCCACGAACCACGCCTCCGGCGAGGAGGTGGTCGGAGCGGTCTTCAACAGGGGCCAGGATAAGGGCAAGGCCAAGCGCAAGGATCAAGATGAGGGCCCCTCCACTCAGAGGGGCAAAAAGAACAAGAAGGATCAGCGCTGATTGGCCAACTCCGTGTTGGTCGCCGCAGCCGATCGCGCGGGCAAGTAGCCCCAGCAGGGCCAGCCCGGCCACTTCGACAAGCTCAAGGATAGTCCGTGCACCAACCATGCCTACCCCGTCAAGCACCTCTATAAGGACTGTGAGCTCCTCAAGTGCTTCCTACGACAAGCTGGTAGGCCGAAAGAAGGAAAGGGCAAGGAGGCAGCAGACAAGAAAGGAGGTGCGGCGGACAAGGATGGGGATGACTTTCCCGACCCCGAGGAATGCATCATGATCTTCGAGGGATCTGATGCTATCTACTCCAAGCGCCAGCACAAAGTACGCTACAGAGAGGCATGTGTCGCCGAGACGGCCATCCCCACCTTTCTTCGCTAGTTGGAATCTCTGATCACCTTTGATCAGAGGGATCACCCTTCCCACGTCGCCAGACCGGGACGCTACCTAGTCATCATCGACCCCATCATCCGCAAGAAGCGCCTCACCAAGGTGCTGATGGAAGGAGGCAGCGACCTCAACATCCTCTACATCGACACCCTCGACGCCATGCGCATCCCTCGATCGGAGCTCCACCAAGTGAGCTCTCTCTTCCACGGCGTGATCCCAGGGACATAGGCGTACTCGCTCGGGCACATCGACCTGCCCATCATGTTTGCCGACCGAGCCAACTTCCGTTTGGAGGTACTTACCTTCGAGGTGGTGGACTTCCCGGGGTCTTACCACACCATCTTGGGGCGGCCATGCTACGCCAAGTTTATGGCGGTCCCCAACTACACCTACCTAAAGTTGAGGATGTCTGGACCGAACGACATCATCACCATGGGTAGCACCTTTTCGC